GAACCAGCAAAGTATGCCCCCAGGAAAAGAATTATGAACTGAGTTTTGAAAAACGGGAATGGGACGCCTGAGTGCCTCAGTCATTAAGTGTCTGCCTTCAGCTCAGGTCATGATCCCAGGGTCCTGGGATGGAGCCCCATGTTGGGCTCCCTGCTCAGCAGGCAGTCTGCTTCTCCCTCCCCCTCTCCCCCTCCCCCCAACTTGGGCTCACTCACTCTCTCTCAAAATAAATAAATAAATAAAAATCTTAAAAAGAAAAACGGGAATATGCTTTCACTAGGATGATATGAAACCAAAAAAAAAAAAGATAATTAAAAAATTTCTAAGACTACTGCATGGTATCGGTGAAGGTTCAGACTTCAGATAAGAACAAAAAATTTTCCAAAGATGATATAATAAAGCAGGGGTTTATAAGCTGTAATTGTGTCACTGGAACATGGATTGATAAGAATTTGAGGAGGAAGTAAAGGGCTGACCAAAAAGGTAATAAGAGTCCCTTCTTAATTCACCCAGAGCAGCTCAGTTATACATATTGCGGTTCCACCATAAAAAAAAAACTTCTACTAGAAAACATAAAAAATATTTTGATGATTTTTTAGAAGATCTGAGAAACATAGTATTGGAAAATTCATCCTTGGTCTTTTCAACACAGCACCGTGATAAGCTATCAACATTTGCTCTGTGAATATTCTCTTGTGAGAGTTAGGCATATGTGTACCTATGTCCTGACCTCAAAGTGGGGTGCTAACACTTTTTGGATTCCTCAGATCTTATCTGTGAAATGATAAAACTTCTGGGCCCAACCAGAGAGCTGTGTGAGATTCAAGGGACAGGAAAGAAAACACCATGCACAATAAGACTGACATCTTTACGGATGGACACTCCTTGACAGTCTTCCCACCCTAGTCTCCTTTAGCTGAGACACATTAGCAACTGACGGTACTGGCCTTCCTTCTCACTGCTGTGGCTTCCTGTTTAGTTTGTAGTTTAGACCTGATATTAGCCAAAGACTCTCTTCCAAGGTGCCTTTGGCATTTCTCTCTCTTTTTTAAATGTTTTATTTTTAAGTAATCTCTACACCCAACGTGGAGTTCGAACTCACAACCCTAAGATGAATAGCTGCATGATTGCAACTGAGTGAGTCAGCCAAGCACCCCCTTGGCATTTCTGTTCAAGCTGTAGAGTCCATGACTCAGACTTTGAACTTTCTTGATTTAAGTTCCTCCTTGAAAAGATAGGTTCTCATCTCACAGGGTCTTAGTTTTAAAAATATGTCCAGCTAAAGTAATACCATTTCAACTCCTAAGATATACCCTATTTGATGATTGGCGATGTTTCCTAAATTTTAAAGGAATTCATTGAAATTTCTAAACAAATAGATATTCTGAAAACCCGGGAAAGAAAACTATTTCTCAGTAACAAGACTGAAAAAGTGTATGTCTTGCCTTCCTACATCTCCAAACAAATGCAGGTTCCAACAGTCCAGCTGGTATAAGGAATTTGTTTATTTTCAGGAACATTAATCAAAATACATTCTAAATGTCATCTTTACCAAGTAAATATTAATGTATATGAGTCTCCGCAGAGGCACTAAATGTCTGTTTCAGCTTGCTGATGTGGTTACTCATATATCAGCAATGCCAGGGCTGGACTTAGAGGCCAATTAAATTGTTGAAAGATGGGGAAATGGACCTGTGTCTTCCTAGAATCCCACAATGGATTTTAGGAAATGGCACTAAAGTTCAGCAATGTTATTCTGCAGTGGAGGAAACCAGAAAGGTGTAGCAGCTTACCCACAATCACCAGCACCTTTTTTGTCCTTAGATCTTATCTGTGAAATAATACTTCTGGCCCCAAATGAATTCCAACAATGGTACAGTTGGAAGTAGAACCTGGTCGGTTGTTCCCACCATTCCCCACAGGATCCAAAAGGGAAAAGAGAAGAATGTTAGGCCTGGCCAGGGCCATAAGAGTTCAGTAGGTCACATGAGCCTCCAAATTATATTTATAGTAATTTTCCTCATAGTAGAAGTGTTTAATCTGAGGTCAACAATGAGTCATAAGTATGGAAGTGAAAATTCCAGCATCAAATGGAAGAAGTGGGGCCAGAACTGTTCTTCCCAATGCTGTTATGTTAACTGGTGCCAGGATGGCTACACAAGAATTTCTGGAATTACCGAAAAGCCCAGATCCCAAAGCCCCACAGAGGAGATTCTGATAGAGGAGATTTAGGGTGGGGTGCATAAATCAGGTTCTGTCTGATGCTGTCATGCTCAGAATCTTTGAGGTCCCTTTTCACACTGACCTTCTATTAAAGGACCCTCCCTTCAAGTTCTCAGTAGAATTCTCTCACATAGGGCCACCTGGGAAGGATGTGAGATAACCAAAAGGAGTTTCTGTGTGTGAGTTGTGGCCTGCTTTCTGTTTTTAGCTAACCATACTCCCTGTGGCTGGCCACCTTACACATTTGATGATGATGATGTCAACCATGACGACTAGGATAATAATAACTATAGGCAAAGTCTGGTAGGCCAGTGCTTCTCAAACGTGAATGTGCATAAGAATTATTTAGGGAGCCTATTAAAATTAAAATTCTAATTCAGTGGGTCTGGGATGGGGCCTGAAATTTTGCATTTCTAGCAAGTTCCCAAATGATGCCAATGTTGGTCAATGGATGGCACTTCAAGGCTGGCTAAGGAGAATAGAGTTTATTTCAAACTCGTTAAATATTCAGCATCTCAAAAGGTAAATAAGCAGAGTACTGGCTTCTGAAAACAGTACTAAAACCTATACAGGGAGTCAGGGATCGCTGGGCAGTGATTCATGCAAGCAGTGGGCAGGGAAAATTAGTGTCAGTGATGGTATATATGCCACCAAAACTAAAACTAAAACAGGCCATTGAGTAAATATGCCCCAAAGAAATCACGTCACAGGATTTTATGCTTGTTCATCAGGTAATAAAGACCTGCCATCTCTTTAGGTCACAGCCACGTGATTTATCCCAGTTCCACGAGGCCTGCAGTTGTTTGTTTCTCCTTTAAGTGAACATGCAACCATTCTGGAGAAGCCACAAAAGCAAGACAAGCTTTTCTGGCACACCTGGATCCCTCCCTTCCTTTTATAAATCCCAAATCATAAACACGGCAATGGAAACAGTCCCCTGCCAAGTATGGTTCTGTGGCAGAGATACCTTGCACACAAAGTTAATCATTATTTGAGCAATTAAGTAAGCAGTAACCACAGTCTCAGGAAAAACAAAAAGCAATTCTCAACTGAAAAAAGGGATAGAATCTTCATAATTGTATTCTTTATTCTTCATTTTGTGTTTATTTTATTTTATGTTAATTTTATGTTAATCACCATACATTACATCATTAGTTTTTGATGTAGTGTTCAATGATTCATTGTTTGCGTAATTGGACAGCCACATGCAGAAGAATGAAACTGGATCATTTCCTTACACCACACACAAAAATAGACTCAAAATGGTTGTAAGACCTAAATGTGAGACAGGAGTCCATCATTTTGTATTTTTATACCATTTCCTTCAGCAGACTAGGAAACAGTATTTAGGAAAATGCAGAGCCCATTTTAAGTGCTCAGTAAATACTTGAAAAATGATTAATTGAATGACAGATATCCAGATACTTTTTAAATTTAAGGCTTTTTTTAATTAGATCTCCCAAAAGTTTTAAGTAGTAAAGAAAGATAAGCAAAAATGAGAAAAAGAAAAATGGGGAGACTGGAGACAATGCATTACGTACAGCCAATATTCTCAACTGCCCACTCAAATGCATCCTCCTTTCTTCTTACCTGAAAAATCCCAAGTTAATTCAGGATTTGATACAGATCCTTTGCTCTTCATGAAGTCTGTCTCACTGCAGAGGATAAATCATATTAAGCCAGACACAGAAACCTCTTCCCCCTCTGTCAGTGAGTGTTCTAAGGATAGGCATGTGTCCCCATGCTAGCCAACAGGATCTGACATTAAGTTCTCTGGGGGCTTCTGGAAAGGATTGTCCTCTCTTGATGAAAACTGGAAAGTTCTCTGCTCTCTCACTTCCTTCTTGCTTAGGAGGATGCCATTTTAGGACATGAGGTTTGATGCTGCCACAATTTTGTGACCATAAGGCAAAAATTTATCCAAATAGTCTAACCTTATTGAGCACTGATCTGGCCCTAGAATGGGTTACCTCTTAGCTCCTTGTTATGGGAGAAAAACAAACCTCAATTGTCTAAGGCACTTTTAGTGGGGTATTCCATTAGTTGTAGCTGAGAGCATATTACTAATACAATATGCTTCTCTTTATTTATATGTATGTTTTTTTAAATCTAATTCAGACTTCCCAAAAAAGAACAATTCATAAATCCATGGTTAACAAGTTTTTTGAGGTAATCATTTATTGGTTTGAGTTGTAAATTCTGGATTATAAATTGACACCCATAAAAGTGTTAGCTGAACCTAAGTGACTACCATGAAATGTGGGGGGGAAATCCATACAAGTTTTAATAGAGGTAGTCACTTATATTTTCATTCATTCAACAAATATTTAACTGATACATTCTAGATCAAAGCCATGTTAGGCACTGGAGAGACAAAACAGCTAAATTCCCTCTTCACAGAGCTGACATTCTAATGGGGCAGAGAGAAAATTCACAAATTTATAACTATGATTAATAACACCAAGGGGAAAAAAACCTAGAATGATTATGGAAAGAGCAACTGCAGTGTTATCTTTAACTTTTTTACTTTTCTTCTTTCTTTCTTTCTTTTTTTTTTTTTTTAAGATTTTATTTATTTATTTGAGAGAGAGAATGAGATAGAGAGAGAGCATGAGGGGGGAGGGTCAGAGGGAGAAGCAGACTCCCTGCCGAACAGGGAGCCCGATGCGGGACTCGATCCTGGGACTCCAGGATCATGACCTGAGCCGAAGGCAGTCGCTTAACCAACTGAGCCACCCAGGCGCCCTACTTTTCTTCTTTCTTTTTTGAGATGGGGGGATTGGAGAGCAAAGAGAGAGGAAGAGAGAGATCCTAAGTAGGCTCCACTCCTGGTGTGGAGCCCGACAAAGAGCTCAATCTCACAACCTGAGATCATGAACTGAGCCGAAATCAAGAGTCCCACGCCTAACCAACTGAGCCACCTAAGCATCCCTGCAGTGTTGTCTTTAAACAAGTTTGTCAGGGGAGGCTGAGACTGATGTAGGAACCTAAAAGTCTAGTGGGGTGTCAGTCAATCCAAAGGGCTGCCATTTCCCCACAGAGCAACAATTGATAAACCCAATTGCCAGGGTATTGGGGGCTGAGCAAGTAAAAGGATATGATCACAAGAGGCAGGAAACATAACAAGCTTTATTGGGCAGTGTTTGGACAGGGTTGCATGACAGGGTTCATCCCTCACTGCAAGTAACTGTACAGAGGCTAGAGTTCAGGCAAAGGAAAGGCTAGTCAGAAGAGGGGGGGGCTTAGTGTCTAGGTGATACTACTCAGCATGGCAGGGTCGTACAACTCCAAAGGGCCATAGCAGCATGGGGCCTTAGAACTGCAATGACCTGTCTTATAAATAGATAACAGCTGTTGAGGGAGGTTTCACAGCATATGCAAAGCAACCAGTCTCTAAATAGCCAAAAATGTGCTTCTTTGACCTATTTTTAAAATAACTGGTAAGTGTAAAACTTTGGGTTTGGCACCGGTAGGATTTTGAGCTACTGCGTCTCAGCCAGCAGTGGGGAAATACCTAGGGGCCAACACACAGAGGCCATCTTTGGGTCATTTACATAACACCAACCTATTGTTTTCAAGTAAGGACTGGCAAAAACAGTAACTGACATATAGTAGTTCTTTTTTTTTTTTTTTAAGATCTTATTCATTTATTTGAGAGAGAGAGGAGAGCACTCGAGCCCTTGCACATGGTGGGGGAGGGGAGGCAGAGGGAGAAGCAGACTCCCCACTGAGTGGGGAGCCTGACACAGGCTCCATCCCAGGACCCATGAGATCAGACCTGAGCTGAAGGCAGCTGCTTAACCAACTGAGCCACCCAGGCGCCCCTAACATATAGTAATTCTGATAAGCCCAAACATGACTTAAAAAATAGTTATTTGTCAGCCAGAAAGAAAAGAGTTCTAAAAACTTTCCTAATTGGCCTAGAAAACAAGGTGAAGAAAAGGCAAGTAAAACTGACTAGATTCTCAAGTTTCTATTTAGCTACTTGAGGGACTTGAGAAAACAGGTAGAAGTCAGCTGCCTTTCATCTCCAGGTATGGCAGAAACAGCATGTTTAAAGGAACAACTGAAAAAAGTATAGTTCTATCAAGGTTCTCAGTGAATTTTACTTTTGATTAGGCTGGGAACACTAAGAAACAAAGACACTAGATCCAAGTGATTCCATTCAATACAGAGCTGAGAGGACCTTGAGGTCTATGTATCAATGAGGAAACTGGGCTCAGAAAAGTTAATGACTGTTGAAATTCAGGTTGCTAATTAGGGATAGCCTGAAACTTCACTTCTTGACTTCCAGCCCTGGACTTCACAAACCCTAGCAAACCTCTGTTGGTTATATAATCTAATAATCTCAGCATTTTTTAGAGGAGTTGGAGTGCATAACTTTCCTTTTTTTTTAGTTGTAACCCTTTCTCTTTCAACCTACAGACACTATTGACATACAATATAAGTTAAGGTGTACAATGTAATGATTTGATACACATGTATATTGCAAAATGATTACCACAGTAAGGTTAAACTTCCCCATCCCCTCACATAAATACCATTTTTTGTGTGTGGTGATAGTATTTAGGATCTACTCTCTTAAAAACTTTCAAGTATAAAATATAGTATTGTTAATTATAGTCACTAGGCTGTATATTTGATCCCTGAAGTTATTCATCTTATAATTAGAAGTTTCTATGCTTTGACCAACATCTCCCCATTTTCCCCACCCTTCAGCCCCTGGAAACCACCATTTTCTACTCTCTGTTTCTGAGTTTGGCTTTTTTAAATTCTACATATAAGTGAGAACATACAGTATTTGACTTTGTCTAACTTATTTCACTTAGTATAATGTCCCTGTCTATCCATGTTGTTGCAAATGGCAGGATTTCCTTCTTTCACATTGTTAAGTAATACTCCATTGTGTGTGTGTGTGTGTGTGTGTGTACACACAATATATTCTTTATCTTTTCATCTGTCAAAAAACACTTAGGTTCTTCCTATATTTTGGCTATTTTAAATAATGTTGCAATGAACACTGGGGTGCAGATATCTCTTTGAGATAGTGATTTCATTTCCTTCAGCCATATCCCCAGAAGTAGGATTGCTGGATCATGGTAACTCTATTTTTAATTTCTTGAGGAATTTCCATACTGTTTTCCATGGTGGCTGCACCAATTTACATTTCCACCAACAGTTCACAGTTGTTCCCTTTTCTTCACAGCCTCACCAACACTTGTCTCTTGTCTTTTTTATAAAAGCCATTCTAACAGGTTTGAGGTAATATTTCATTATGGTTTTGATTCCCATTTCCCTGATGATTAGCAAGGTTGAACACCTTTTCATGTACCCATTGGTCATTTGTAGGTATCATTTGGAAAAATGTCTATTCTAGTCATCTGCCCACTTTTTGGGGGGGAGGGGCAAGGGGAGATGGAGAGAGAGAATCTTAAACAGGCTCCACATCCAGCACAGAGCCCAATGTTGGGCTCGATTCCACAACCCTGAGATCATGACCTGAGCCAAAATCAAGAGTTGGACCCTTAACTGAGCCACCCAGATGCCTGACTCTGCCCATTTTTTAATCTTTTTTTTTTTTCTATTGCATTGTAGGAGATCTTTATATATTTTGAATATTACCCCTTATCAGATATAAGATTTACAAATATTTTCTCCCATTCTGTAGGTTGCTTTTTCATTTTGCTGATTGTTTCTTTTGCTATACAGAAGCTCTTTAGTTTGATGTAGTCTCATTTGCTTTTGTTGCTTATGTTTTTGGTGTCATATCCAAAAACCATTGCCTTGACCAATGTCAAAAAGCTTTTTCCCTAATGTTTTCTTCTAGTAAAGTACATTTGCAGTTCTTACATTTAAATCTTCAATCCATTTCAAGTTGATTTTTGTGAGTAGTATAAGATAATGGTCTAATTTTGTTCTTTAAATGTGAATATCTACTTTTCCCAGCACCAGTTTTTGAAGAGACTATCCTTTCTTCATTGAGTGTTCTTGGCTCCCTTGTCAAATATTAGTTGACCATGTGTGGATTTATTTCTGGGCTCTCTATTCTGTTCCTTTGGTCTATGTCTGTTTTTATGCCAGTACAATACTGTTTTGACTACTATGATTTTATAATTAAGTTTGAAGTGAGGAAGTGTGGTGCCTCCAGCTTCATTCTTCTTTCTCAGGATTGCATTGACTATTAGGGGTCTTTTGTTGTGCCATACAAATTTTAGGAATTTTTTTTCTATCTCTGTGAAAAATGCCGAATTGGATAGGGATTCCAAAATTGGAATTTTGATAGGGATGGCATTGTGTTTGCAGATCACTTTGGGTAGTGTAGACATTTTAACAATAGTAATTCTTCCAATCCATGAACACAAGATATCATTGTATTTCTTTGTTTCTTTGTCAAGGCTTTTCATCAATGTCTTATAATTTTCAGTGTACAGGCTGTTCAGCTCCTTGGTTAAATTTATTTGTATTTTATTACTTTTGATTCTAATGCAAATGTGATTGTTTTCTTTATTTCTTTTTCAGATAGTTCATTGTTAGTGTATAGAAACACAATTGATTATTATATATTGATTTTGTTGTATCCTGCAACTTGACTGAATTCATTGATTAGTTCTAACAGTTTTTTGGTAGAGTCTTTAGGATTTTCTATATGTAAGATCATATCATCCTCGGAGACAATTTTATTTATTTCTTTCTGATCCAGATAACTTTTGTGTTTTTGTTTTGTTTTGTTTTGTTTTTTTATTGCCTAATTGTTCTGGCTATACTTCCAATACCATGTTGAATAGGAGTGGTAAGAGTAAGCACCCTGTCTTGTTGCTGATCTTAGTGGAAAACTTTTCAACCTTTCATCATTGAGGATGACGTTAACTGTGGGTTTGTCTTATATGGCCTTTACACTGAGGTATGTTCCTTCTATACCTAATTTGTTGAGAGTTTTAATTATGAAAGAATGTTGAATTTTAATTATGAAAGGATGTTGAATTTTTCTGCATCTATTGAGATGATTATATGTTCCTTATCTTTTATTCTATTAATGTGGTATATCACATTTATTGATTTGTGTATGTTGAAGCATCCATGCATACCAGGGATGAAACCCACTTGACCATGGTTTATGATTTTTTTAATGTGTTGTTGAATTTGGCTCGCTGGTATTTTTTTGAGAATTTTTGCATCTGGGAAACTGGGTTCATGAGTGCCTGCCTGGAGCTTAGGTTTGCAAAGGCTGATTGGGACCTTGGGACCACTGGAGCCAGCAAGTGCCATGGTGAGTGGGGGGGCTGATATAAAACTTTTTAAAGATATATTTTAGGTATTTGACTTTATTGGGATTTTTTCTAAAGCTAACAATTAATGTAGAGTTGATTTGTTAGCGATGATGGTTATATATATTTTTAAGATTTATCTATTTATTTTAGAGAAAGAGAGAGCACGAGTGTGAGCAGGGGGAGGGGCAGAGGAGGAGAGAATCTCAAGGAGACTCCATGCCAGGTGCAGGGCTCGATCTCACAACCCCGAGATCATGGCCTAAGCTGAAACCAAGAGTCTGATGCTCAATCAACTGAGCCAGCCAGGTGCCTCCATGGTTATATTTTTTAACATATTCTGTAAGTGTCTTCTTTCAGAAGAAAGCGAGGGTAGCTCAATTAAAAGCTATCAGATACACAGATGCTCTGTTGGGGCCATTTAATGGCAAAACACCCTTAGCCTGAGAGTCTGGAAATAAGCACTCTGTAGGAACAAACATTTAAAACACAACTGGAGTATGCCTTTCATGCATTAATTTCTTGTGACAACAAATGAACTTAATGTAAGCCATTCTGCACCCTTAAAAAGTTCATCCTTTAAAATATAGGTGTAAGCAGAATTTTATCAGAAGAATGCACTAATCTTTCTTCCTTATTTGAGCTGAACTTCCTTTTTTTTTTTTTTAAGATTTTATTTATTTGACAGAGAGAGACACAGCGAGAGAGGGAACACAAGCAGGGGGAGCGGGAGAGGGAGAAGCAGGCTTCCCACCTAGCAGAGAGCCCGATGTGGGGCTCGATCCCAGGACCCTGGGATCATGACCTGAGCTGAAGGCAGACGCTTAATGACTGAGCCACCCAGGCGCCCCTGAGCCGAACTTCCTTTCAAAGCATCCTTTTGAAAAGTTTGGTCCATTTTTACTGTTTATAGACATAAATCTTATACTGAGAGCTTGGTCATAAGGCAGAACAAGTCCTTCCACATTTAAATCTCAGTCACAGCATATTAGCTAATGTAATTCTGGATGCTGCACAGGTAATCCCAAAAATCTCAATTCCTAACACAAAAGAATTCATTCTAGTAAAACCTAATAGTGTATGCTATGAGTGGTCTCCCATGAAGTAATATAGTAACCCAGAAACTTTTCATCCACCATTCCCGAAGATAAGAGTCATCAAACTTTTTCTGTAAAGAAGAGCTAGTAATTATTTTAGCCTTTGTGGGTCTAAACAATCTTTATTGCAATGACTCAAATCTGTTGCAGTGTAAAAACAGCCATAGACAATAACTAAACAAACAAGCATGACTGTGTTCCAGTAAAACTTGATTTACAAAAATAGATGGTGGATTGGATTTGACCCTCAGGCTGTAGTTTGCCAACCTCTGCCCTAGAACTTCAGAGTGTTTTATGTTTAGCCAACTGACAAGGAAAGAGAGAGCATAGATGATTGTGCTAGAGTTCTGGTGAACCAGGCCTGAAATAGGCAGACGTAACCTCAGTTTCCATTGCACTGGCCAAACCTCAATCATACGACCACACAAAGTAAGACTGAGAACAGTAGTCTCACTGTTTGTCAAGAGATAGAAGAAATGACATTGTTAACATACAGCAATTCTGCCATGGCATTCTTATTGCCAAATATCAACTTTACGGTGCCTCTTATCTATAGAACACATTTACCAGACTCCCAATCTCTCCCACCTCAACCCCGGCAAAAGGTCCCTCCAAAGCCACATTCAGTCACTGCAACCAGTTCAAAAGGCAGGTTCTCCCTCTGAAGCACAGTCTTTCTGTCAGCTCTATCAGGTGGCTCCTTGTGGCCCAGCAGCTAGGACATTAAAAAAATAGTGACTTAAGAACTAAATATCAAGTTGTCTGTCCGCTCTTGTACAAACATTCAATATACAATGGTGAACTAGGGCCATGATATTGATAATAAAATCCCCCATTCAAAATAAGAATGTAAGGCACATAGCAGTTCTTGGTGAATGGGAAAAAAAATCCTGCTGGGCAGCCATACCGAAGGCCCTCAACCCTGGGATTTGGGAAGTTTCTTACTTGCAGACTGATTCTGCTCTCTAGAAGGTACTTCTTTGTTCATTAGTTTCCATGGCTACAGACACTACCTTGGGAAATTCTTCTTTGTCCATTCATCTCCAAGGCCATGACTAAAAGGGATATCTGTAGACTGTGCATCTTTTGCAGCCCACTTCCTGCCCAAGGTTGTTTTAAAGTCTCTAACCAGTCCCAAACTTAGAACATGCTTTCTTTGGCAGTAGATTCCCTTAAAAAATCTTGTAGGATTAAAGCCACTTCCAGTCAGCTTTAAATGCCAAATAATCACATCCAAAATTCTTTCTCAGACATAATTCTCCAACCTGTCTTATTTCTTACCTTCTTCACCCCATGCCCTTCTTTCTCTTTCCCTCTCTGTCCTCCCCCTCTCGTTGTTCTCTCTCTCTCTCTCTCTCTCTCACACACACACACACACACACACACAATTTAAGATGATTACATCTGTCTGAAAAAATAGAGTTTGGTGGGAAGGTAACACCACTAAATAAGTTACTGTTTTTATCTGAGAAGTCTTGCTGGTCTTTTTCATTAAAGCCCTTTTAATCTTAAATCTTCTGAGAAGTAGTTGCTGTTTCCAACCTGTAAGGCCCTAATACCTAAAATTTCTCCATTCCCTTGATTCGCTGTTTGAGAACTAGCCAAAACTTGGTCTATTTCTTATTATAATGTTTTTCTCAAAATAGTCAATAAGAGTCAATATAATCATAGACCCCCCTCATTTGTGATAGAGCTATAGGGTCCTAGGCAAATATATGTCTTCCAACTCATCACAGGTGATATTTTTATCAAACATTTTGCCATGGTACAACAGAGCTCTTCAGTCTTCTAGGCAACCATATCTCTTCTTTGCCTTCCACCACCTGACCCTCAAACCAATGATGCACATTTTAATTTTTTGTGTTTATCAGCATCCTACTTTAGTATTAGCTGCAGTGAAAGATAATCTCAGTGGACTCAAAGAAGTTTATTTCTCTCACATGTAGTATAATCATGTGTTGAACAGGCAACCTTCCATGCAGAGATTCAAGTGCTCAGACTCCTTCTATCTTGTATCTCCACTATCACCTGTGACCAGAAAGTCCCGAGCTTCTGGCCAGAGATGAGGAATAGAGAAAGAGATGGTTGTGCTGGAAGGCTTTGCAATCAAACTTAAAAGTACCCATAATCTACCCACATTCCAGATGCCAGAACTCAGTCATTTACTATGTACCAAAAGCTATAGGAGATGAGTTCTGGCACACACATAGCAGTCCCTGCCTCAGACAACTTTAATACTGCTCCCATCATATAATTGGAATATAGATCTCATTATCCTAGAAAATAGGCTGGGAGATCTGGCATAATCAGAAATCAACAATTTTAAGTTCAGGACTTTGAAATCTTAGAGTTAGCAGAGGAACTGCAGAGACCAGACAGTCCAACTATCTCATATTACAGATTAATAAGCAAAGGCTCAGATGGGCATAAGGAATCGGTGATAGGTATAGGACTAGAACATTGGTCTCCCCCTACTCAGGTCAGTGCTGTCTTTAATATGCCTCCCTGCCTTATTTCTTCCTAAAGTTGTTAACTTGCTGTAGGCTAATGAACAAAAATGGGATTTTTTTTAAACTTTTTTACATACAACTTTTAGTAGATACAAGAAATAAAATGGCATTCCATCAGAAGACAAATAAAATTCTTTGGTCAGAATTTCAGTGGGAATTAGGTTGGTTTATGTGGTCCTAGAGGAGATATATTTTACTCCAAAGAGGAGATAATCTCAATTTGGTCTGAATACTGTTTGTCAGAATTTTTCAATCTGTTTGAAGCTAGAAGATCATTCAGATGCCAGCCCTTTATCTATGTCATTTGCAAATATCTTCTCCCATTCCATGGGTTACCTCTTAGTTTTGTTGACTGTTCCGTTTGCTGTGCAGAAGCTTTTTATCTTGATGAAGTCCCAAAAGTTTATTTTTGTTTTTGTTTCCTTTGCCTTTAGAAATGTGTCTTGAAAGAAGTTGCTGTGGCTGATGTCAAAGAGTTACTGCCTATGTTCTCCTCTAGGATTTTGATGGATTCCTGTCTCACATTTAGGTCTTTCATCCATTCTGAGTTTATCTTTGTGTATGGTATAAGAGAATGGTCCAATTTCATTCTTCTGCATGTGGCTGTCCAATTTTCCCAGCACCATTTATTGAAGAAACTGTCTTTTTTCCAAACAGAGGATCATTCAAATGAAAGCAAAGAAGAACTATAGCTTTTGTAAAACTAAACAAAAATGAAGTAAAGAAATGCTTGCGAAAACTTCAGGAAACATCAAGGGGTAATAACTAGCAGAGACTAATTGTTGAAAGAATTAAGAACCAGCTGTACCCTTCCGCTTTGAGCTCTTGTCCAAATCTACAAATAATGGTTTCTTCCCTGCCTCCCTTCTGGGATTCTGGTTAGGGCAAAATGATTATATATACAAGTGATTTGCAAGTTGAAAATCAATGTGCAAGAGAAAGATATCATCTTCAAATGATCAGTAATAAATCTTCTACTTTAGTCTTTAAATATCCGTTAAACTATTGTAGCCTATATGTTCCTCAGAGAGCACATATGCACATAGATAATTTGCTAGATTGTTACTGTTTCCATAATTATTGTTTGCTATAGAAGTGTATCTAAACTAAATTTCCAAAACTTTCTCTTAGGTAATTACAAGAGCAACTATTGATCATCAGAAATACAAAGCATACTTTTAGAAAGGTATTTACAAAATGCAAAATGTATTCAGCTATTATAAATTTTTAAAAAGCTATCAAGGCTAATTAAAGAGTAATAAATGTCATTTAAGAGTGAGGTCTTGGTAAAGCAAATAACAAGATTGATGAAAGATGTATTTGACTACAAATGTCCAAAAGTAAGAAAGGAAGGTGATAACCTAGCAAAATGGTCAAACAGTAATGGGTAGAACCAAGAAACTTAAGCTAATAGTAGCAATTTGGTTGATTAAGAAGTCTGTGGATTCAGAAAATAATCCCTCTTGAGAATTACTCTACATGCCAGTGGATTGGGTTTCGTATTTTCACAGGTTGGTACAAAATACCAAAGACAACATTAAAGAACTGGCCTTTACTGTCAGAGGAACAGATTATATGGTGTTTAAGGGTCTTTACCTTCTGTCATAGATTTTACAATAAAGTATAATTTATAATGTAGAAAGATGGGTTCCATCTATAGCCTGACTCAGAAGAATTGATTCAGAAGAAAACTAATATTGACGAGTTTCCTAGTCCTTATCCAATAAGGCAACCCTCATTTGTTCCCCCATTCATATCTCTAATTCAAAAATCCATAGAATTTTCTGAATTCTTAGGTTCCAACCTGGAAAAATGCCACGTCCCTGATATCTGTCTGGACACAGACCTAAGCCTCCACAGAAATGTTGGCCCTGCTCATGGTGGTGCTCTATGGAGACACCTCTCTCAAACTGTGCCTCCTTGAGTCAGACTACCTATTTTAATTTCAGACAAATACTTTAATTTCAGACAAATCATCTTCAATATCTATGAAAAAGGGCCTCAATGCAATGGAACACCAGCAGATAGTCAAGACAAATGGATTTTTCTTAAAAAAAAAAAAAATGTGGTGAAGGGCCAATTTGTATTATGAATCCTTCTACCTACAGGCAGTCACAGGTAGGCCTCCAGTTGTCCACTTGTCAGCTTCTATGTGTGCCCATATAAGAGTGAGTCCTTTTGATAATATTACTTGGAACTCTGAACAACATTTTTGGTATGACTAATTATGGTTGCCAAAGCTTCTAGAAAATAACAAGAGATCTTCATGCTTGTTGCACCTAAAAATAAAGGAAAGACAGAGATGAAAACAAACATATTAAGATACAATTCCCTTTTCATCAGGGATTCAAACCAAATGAAATAGTTTGGCTCAAATTTTGTTCAGGAGACATTCTGACATTTCAGCTTTCTTCCAATTCAGTGATTTGGGGGAAAAAAATATGCAGGCTCAGTTCTGGCTCAAACCAGTTCAATTGTGGGGGGAAAAATGATGCATTTATGATTTAATACAAAAGCAATATTTGGGTTTAGTTCAAGATTTGGAAAATTAGTATGGTTCATTCCAGTTTAACGTTTGATTCAAGTTACTATTTTTAACTGTTCATTTTATGTTACGGCCCAAAGGAAAAAAATATATGTATTAACTATTGTCAGAGGGAAAATAGGGGGATACTGTTAATGGCTTTGAAAGGAGCCAAGAGTCTCATTTTAGTGTGCAAATTAAGCATAGAATTTCTGTTGTCTGTCACATCATTTAAAGTACATAAACCTACATTTTCCAAAAAACTCATAGAATAAACCTTAGGCACCTTTTTTATTAAACATTTGCTCCATCTCTCTTCTCACAAAGCAACCAAGAAAATTTCTAGCTAGTCTTTTCTAGGTACTTCTAAATTAGAAAATCTTAACTCATTATTTCTCTTATAAACTAAGATTATGCATAGAAATGTTATATATAAACTTTATATCTACTGATATATATATGAATTTGATATCTATGTATACACACATGTATACATACACACACATATGCACACATATATAAAGGGTAGTAGAGAAGGAAGAGTTTTGGGTTCACTGAGAGCAAAAGAAAGGCAAGTGAGCCAAGGAAAAGAGATTGATTTAATGGCTGGGGGTATCTAAGGCTTTTTCTTATATCAAGACCCAATACTTAGAATGTTATTCTATAAGTACATTTGGTGAGGTGATTTATTGAGCTATAAATGTGTGATTTGTTTGCATAGAATTTTCCTTCTTCCATTCAAGAAGGCCTCTCTTTTCCTAACTTTGAGCTCAATGAATAGATTTTCTCCTGGAATGGGAATAAAGGAAGGAGATAAAGTTGAGGAAAATAGAAAAGCATCATTAAAGATCAATAGAATAGCCCCTGCTCCAAACAATATCCCAGCAATGTGGCATAGGAAAATGGCACCATGGTACAACCCCAACCCACATCCACAGTCCCACCCCAGGCCCCCTTTAGAAAGAAAGTAGCAGAACCCCCAAAGCTTCAAGATACTGCAAATCTGTATTAGTTTTCTATTGCTGTTATAACAAATTACCACAAACTGGGCAGCTAAAACACAAATTCACTATCTTATAGCTCTGGAGGTCAGAAGTTCCAGATGGATTTCACTTGGCTAAAATCAGTGTCAGCAGAGAAAGTCTACATTCTTTTTGGAGGTTCTAAGAGAAAATCCATTTCCTTGCCTTTTTCAACTTGTAAAGACCATCTTCTTTCTTTGGCTCGTGGCTCTGTCCTCCATCTTCAAAGCCTTCCTCCATCTTAAAAGCCAGCAGCCTAGCATCTTTGATTCTCTCTCTGACTTCTGCTTCCTTTGTCACATCTTGTTTTCTAACTGTGATCCTCCTGCCTCCCTCTTGTAAGAGCCCTTGTGATTACACTGGGCCCATCTGGATAATCCAGGCTTGTATATGAATGCATCAGGGGTTGTCATGATGAACTGGAGACTCAAGGCCCTCGGCCAATCTCCATATACTTGTAAGTCTTGGGATTCTTGTATAACACTCAAAGGGAAAGGAAGCCACATTAATAACGAAAATGTGAGTGGAGTCAGAATTATGTTAAGATAAAGAAAAATTACAAATGTGACAGTTCTTGTTTGTAATTTTTATGCCTACAGCATATAGTTTTATTTTTCTTCCCTAATCACATTACCTCTCAGTCATCACCATTGCAACTCATTTACTATAATCACATTGACAATTAACAAGTATCTACTAAGCACCTATTATGCATAGAGCACTATAACAAGGAATTGTAAATAATGCAAAAGAATTAGAAAACAGGCATCCTTCTCAGGAAGTAATATGTATGAAAACTATAAGTGAGGGCACCTGGGTGGCTCAGTTGGTTAAGCGACTGCCTTCGGCTCAGGTCATGATCCTGGAGTCCCGGGATGGAGTCCCACATCAGGCTCCCTGCTCAGCAGGGAGTCTGCTTCTCCCTCTGACCCTCCCCCCTCTCATGCTCTCTCTCTCTCTATCTCATTCTCTCTCAAATAAATAAATAAAATCTTTAAAAAAAAAACTATAAGTGAGATTATTTACGGGAAAAAGAAGATAAGACTATGTAGCTTGCTAAAGTATATTCTGCAAATAGTAAGTGTTCCTGGACACTCAGATCCTTCCCATCCTCACTGACTTGGTATTTTGCCTTGCAGACTTCACAGTATTTCCTACAAGGTATTCCATGAAAGAGAACTTCTCTGGTCAAGAAAGTTTAGGAACATACTGACCCACCATATTTAATTATTGCAGCAATAGCCCAGAGAAGTTCTACACTAAAGAAATCACTTTTTACTTTATTTCTAAACATATTTATGCCTGCAACCCTTTTCCTCATAACCCTTACCAACATCCCTCTTTGAAAATGCTGATTTAGTGAAATCATGGTCCTTCCTAGGCCATTCATAAAAATGTTTATATTTAAAAACCCAAGCTTCAGCACTACCTACTGGATATTTAATAAATGTTTGCTGAATCATGTGAATATCTAGCGAGATGAATGCTCATCTCTTCAAAACTTTTATTTCCTGTATTTATCAGTTCCATACCAAAATAAGACCAATTCCCTGCAACTCTATGTTTTACCACCTTTAGGATTAAAAATTATCCAACTTTTTGAAACTCTGAATAGATTATATACACTGGTCCTCCTTATGTATAGATATATTTGGAGACAGCATGTTATGGAAAAATAAAATGTTGCAGTCTCCTCCCAGCTCTGCCGTTAACTATGCTGCTAACATGCAAAGCTCATGACCTTCTGGCACTCAACATGCTCACTGGTAAAACAAGAGGATTGAACTACATGGTCTCCAAGGCCCCTTACACCTCTATTCTTTATGCATAGTCTTTATCTAGATACTCATTTCTCAAAGAATTTCAACATAGGGGGCAAGAATTACTTCTCTTGAGGAAACAATACTATCTTCCCACCCCAATATCCCCCACCTCCAGTAAGTTGTCTGTGTTCAACAACACTACTTTTTATCATAGATCCTATCAGCTTTCCTGGTGTGATTGCCAGGGAAAGATCTCTGCTTTAGTGCAGTTTATAATCTTACTGAGTATATGAAATGAATTATGCTCCCCTCTCCAAAATTCATATATTAAAGCCCTTACCCCCAATGTGACTATATTTGGAGATAGGGTCTTTAAGGAGGTAATTAAGGTAAATTGAGGCTGTTGGAGTATGGCCCAATGCCAATAGGACTGGTGTCTTTATAACAAGAAGAAGAGACACCAGGGCTATACATACACAGAAAAAAGGCCATGTGAGGACACAGTGAAAAGACAATCATCTGTAAGCCAAAGAGAAAGGCCTTAGGAGAAACCATCCCAGGGGCACCTTGATGCTGAATTTCCAGCCTCCAGAACTGTGAGAAAATAAATTTCTGTTGTTTGAGCTACCAGTCTATGGTATTCTGTTATAGCAGCCTGAGCAGACTAATACATTGAATAAGTATAATCTATATGCAAACAAGAAGCAAAGAGTAAACAATATATGACTCAACATAATCAAATAAGATGTGCATACTTTTATTCGTAGATGGCTTCTATTTGCTAGCTAGAATAATTAGTATGGAGGTAACAGTTTATTCTACACTCACTCATCTATGTGAGGTGATCATATTGAGCATTTTCAACTGTATGCACTAAAACTGACAAGAAGCTTTTCCTGGGCATAGTACACAAGGAAAACAAAGCAGAAAGTGGCACAAACTTCTCTCCCAACCCATTTTCAACATCCCTGGTCCTGAGGTGGGCTGACTAATGGGACCAATGTTTTCCCTTGGTATGGATGTAGTTAACAATGGGTATGATTTTACTAATACCCCTTTAACTTGGGAACTGTGAGTCCTCTTCTTAATTGGTTTATTCAAAAAGAAGTCAGAAGAGTCAATATGGTCTTGTAGTATCATCTGAGCAAGTAAGTTATGGTTCTCAGCCACCCACTTTCTCCCTCTCTCCACCCATCCCTCCCTGCCTCCTGCCCTTACAGCAGGACCCCCACTGTTGCAATCTCCCAAGGATGGGCTGCCTAAAGCAAGGGCTTGCTTGCATTGACTTATTTTCCCCCAAAGACCTACTCAGAGCAGTGGCTATATACTTATTATAGGTTTGGCTATATTATCTTGCTCAGGGACACAAAATTTAAATAATATGAACAATTAAACCACCATGTTGACGGTATTCCTTGATGTTTTTTCCATTTCTAAGCATGCTCATACTTGCTTTCACATCCATTACCCCTAAGGTTGGTAAGCACAGCATTATTTAGGAACCTCCTCAGACAGTTCTGGATATGCATGCTCTATAACACCTAGCACAATGTATTACACAGAACTCAAAAAATATGTGTGGATCAAATTTTTAAAAACAGAAGAACTGTATTTAAAAACATTTCACTTTGTTCTCATGTCTGTATATAAAGTATTTTAACAGATTTTATTTAAAAAGCCAGCTTTGATTTAAAACTTGTTATTTGCAGGCACTCTTTATTCCAAAGGCAAAAGCTTTTGGTCCTCACTTACAGACTATAGACATTCAGCATCTTGACTTTACACACGTTTCTAACAGCAACAGCAAAAGGAAGTTGGAAATGGGGAGTTTGATGAAGACAGATCTCCTGAAGGTAGAAAGCATGAAAGTGTTCAGTACCTAAAAAGAAGGGAGACAAAGAAGAGGGGAGGGGCGTGCACAAGCACCCAGAACTCTAAAAGCAGAATAGCAGTGAGCCATTTCATGTAAC